AGAAATCCATACGTCAGAACGCTGCTGATGGCACAGTTGTAGAAGTTCAACATCAGAGGTCTGGGAATGTGTGCGCTCCGCAGTCTCCTCAGGTAGTAGAGGCGCTGTTCGGCCTTCCGTGCAACTAAGGTGATATGGTTGCCCCAGGACAGGTCCTCGGTCAAAGAACAATTTCATTCTTCTTTGACAATGACAATAAATAAAATAAATACTAAATACTAAATCATACAAACTGTTTTTACTAGCTGAGTAATGCTAAGATGAGTAAACTCATATTTATAGAGAAAGTCATTGGTTTTCCCTTTGGTTCCTTCTCCAAATTTGTTCATTCATTTGAGTGAGTAAGCGCTTGGATTAGTGGATTATCCCTTAAGGCCATTACCAAAATGCTCCATTATCAAAACACACTGCATCCTGTGGTAAAGAATTGATATACATTTGGACTGTCAGTTTTATATATTAGTGTTCATAAAATCTTTGTTCTTTCTTTCTTTGTTGTCTATTCACTGCTGTCATTAACATCTATAAATAGAAACGCTGAACAGCCAACTTTTTGAATGAACTATGGCAGGATGCTCTCACTGTACAGGCATGAATGGACAGAGTGCATTAGAGCTTCAGTCCGTGATTAATGATCATTAATCGCCATTAGTGGGAGTAGAAAAAGGCACCACCCCCTCCCTTTTTTTTTTTTTGTTGCTGTTTTTTTTTACTCCCGAGGTGAAATAAAGTATTTTGAAATGTGCAGCTTGGCAGATCGGAGTCGGAACTTTGTGATCAGAAGCGTCTCTGCCTGGACTTGCTTTCCCACCCGGCAGCCATGTTAGAGCGAGCGTCTCTGACGCTGTTGATATAGGCGGTTTATAGAGCCCCGAGGAGGCGATGGAAGTAGAAAGGGAGAAAGATAGAAGAGAGAGAGAGTTGTGGAGATGGAGAGGAGGAGGGAATGACTCACTGATATAGCACTCATATGTCACTGAGTCAACAGAGCGCAGTCACACAGCCGAGCGCTCACAGTGGCTCATTGAAGGCGCTGAGTCTGGCCCTGATGGAAGTGTATGGGCATGTATAGACAGACGCTGATAGAGTTTAATGTACACATGCACAAGCTGCTCCTGTTCCCCTTTTTTTTCCCCCTCCATCATTCCTTTCCCGCTGATCATAATATTTACGGTACACTCCCGGCTAACTTGGACAGATCGTTGTGCAGCGTGTCTGCGATGCGCTCATGAACTGCTGGACTGAACTAATAAAAATGTGGGACATATTTTTAATGGAAACTTTTATCCAGAGCACCTTCACGGCAGCGATGGTGTAAACAGTTCTGTTCATTAAATCCGGGATTGAGCGCTGGAGACGTGTTGGACGATACACTGTGAAGACTGAATGGCTGCTGTGTTTGCCGTGCGCTGAGGAAACTGTACAGAGATGGGTATCAAACAAGCTTCGGGCCTGTTTACAGTAAACTGCTGAGCGGCTTCCACTGCGTCTGCAGCTTGTGGGGAAATCGGATTCATTTGTGCAGGCAAAGGTTATAGGAAATAAAGGCAAAGGAAATAAATAATCTAAATGGACATAGTGTAGGATCTGATGGAGGTGGACAATGTCCCCAGCACCACCACCAAAAGTAAAAATGTGAATTTCAACCAGATATCTAGATCATATTTAGATGCTATTACAGAAATGCAGATGCCTATGCCTCTGTGAACAGAACATCCACAGCCGACAGAGTATCAAAAATCTGTTTATGCCATTAAAAATTAAACAAAAAGGCATCTTTTTCTCGATGTCTCTTCACTAACCTGATAAGATGCTTTTCGTCTTTCAGTTTTTAATCAATATTATCTGGCAAAGTCACCTTCAACATTTTTCAGTGTCTTTGCTGGGCGGGTAGAATTTGCTTCTCTCTTGTATTACTTTGAAGCAATCGTATTGATAATCAAGCACCTGATCAACGGACTCCTCGCCGTTAATGCAGTTGCACTTCAAACAGTTGCCTCACCCGTTAAATACGTGTATTTAAAAGACTAATTCAAAGTGCTTTAATTCTGCAACCCTCTACGGGTAATAATCGAAACACGTACTGTTAGAAAGAGCGGATTCGTGAGTTTGACGTGGTTGAAAGTTGGTAGCAGTGACCCCAGACGTGCTCGCCAAGGTATGAGACGAGTCTGGAGGGGGGACACTTGTGAACATTCTATGTTTTGTATGTAAAACATTATATTAAGTCATGTATTTTAAAACATTTGGCAAATTTCTCTTTCCATCACTTTTAAAGAAATAACCTTTTTAAAATCAGATGTGACCTCGAAGGCTGTAAGAGCAAGTTAATGTCACTATCAGCTCATCCAGGATGCACTAAATATTCATCGCAGCACCCTTACACCAAAACAGTCTATGGATGTGCCATTCTTAACAATATCTGAATTGTTACCTGATAACACTGCTCCCGTTAATTCAAATAAAGTCGCTTCTAGGCCCAGAAAAACCAGGTGTAATCTTGGATTACATGAAGAACCAAAAAATACTTAAAGATCTAAAACAGTCCAATCTACCTGCAAGCTATGAGTTGGTGTGCAGGGAACAACGGGTGCTCACACCAAACATCAGATTTTTTTCATTGTTTATTACTATTTTTGTATCAAATGAGTCATTATTAATGGATAGGCATGACCTGACAGGTTTATTAAATGTTGGCTAACCCAAAGAATGAAATACCTGACAAGTCATGATCCTTAATCATAATGACGCTGAACATGAAGGTTAAACAATTCAATATTGCCACATCTCAGTGTTGTAGCAGTGCCCAGAATGAGTTTTACACCTTGATATGCACTAAATGTGTGTAGTGCAGGTTAGTAATGCACTTTGAGGTCGATGTTCTCAGAGTATTTTTTAAATCCGGTCAAAACTGAGGCAGCAGACACAGGAATATCCCGATGTCATTTCTTATTTTAGGTAAAGCTTATGAAACACTGATAATACAGCTCACCGGCATTTTCTCATTAGTTGCTCGGTATGATGGTTTTTCCTTCTTACTTGTGAAATAACATGTCTGTTGGAGACGGTTTATTCTTAGATAATCCTGGTAATAGGCTTTAAATTTATTTTTTTTGTCAACCACTGAAAATATCGCTTAAGAAATTATATACCTGGACTTCATGTGTAACATACTATAGCTGACAGTGTGCAAATAATTGCAAAATCTGACAGCTGAGAAACTTTCCATCAGATCATTTTAGTCATGCTCGTGTTTCACCTTTGCCTAAACTGTATAACATGTGTCGTGCACAAGGTTTAAAGATTATTCTTATTAATTTTGCTCTCAGGTTTGCTACAAGCACCGGATAGTTTGCACTCAAAATGGTTTTATCGGGTGCGGAGGTTCAGCTAGTGTCAGGTAAGATGACACAGGAAATGTACTTAACTTATTGTGCTGTCAAAACACTCAACCAGCCAGTGTAACAAAACTCAACTCCCCCGAGCACTCTGAGGCAATTTTTTACGCATGAAATAAGGACATCTTGAAAATCAGGTCGGAGTGTTTACCACATTTATAGATGTCTTTTTTTCAGATGTGGCACACGGCAAGAAGCGCTCTGCTTTAATGTTTTGTCACTACTGGAAATGTTCTATGTGTTTTGGTTAATGGAGAAGCCTGAATAGAACCTGCGTGAGGCAGCGTGCATGATGCCAGTGGTTAATCTGTTAATCGCACATTGATGCAATCCAAGAATCCCACACGCTTTGTGCTTGGGAAGTCACAGGTGAGCAGCAATCTCCAATCCGATTAGCTTTACTTGTATTTTTATCTGGTATTGCAGAGAAAAGTTCAGGGTTGCGGTACCTGTGTGAACATAGCTTAAGAAAAAAAAGCCTCTAAGAGTTGTTTGAAATCCCTGCATGAGCCCCATCTGTGAAATATCGCACTCATTTGGAAGTAAGAGGATGAAATACTCGTAAAGTATTGAATTATATCCACTTGACCTATTCCAGTGAGGCATTGTTGACTAATGCACAACATGAGCACAGGGCTTGAAGATTTGTATGCTTATTTTATCATCTGCTCCAATTCAATATAAAGTCTGTATATCTTAAATCCATTACCCGGGTGACAAAAAAGGAGGACGCCTCTGCCTGGCTGATGTACTGCTGTTTGAGGAGTTTCCTGTCATTCTGCTCATTTGCAAAGCCATTCCCAGCGGTTTGTAATTGAGTTATAGGCGATTTGGTGATAGCACACTGTGCTGTCTGCTTTGGCAAAGAATTGAACTCGCTGAAGGCATCAAGATGAAAGAGTTTAATTCCAGTGTTTGGTTGTCCTTTTGCAGCATCTTGGTCAGACGTTGTATTCAATCTTCTTGAATTCAGTGTCGCAGACAATAAAAGTGACAGAACTGAGACTGATTCACTCAGTCAAGTTGGTCTGGTTGAGTCATATCTCCTTACGGGAGATTCATTGATTCCCCATGTCTCTAACCAGCGGCAGGAAAAACGTGCCATCAGTAGACGTGAGATAGGTCGTGAATATTTATATGAGCGCAACTCAGACACTATGTCGAAAAGACTTCATCTTTGGCGAGGACAAGGGAGTGCCTGATCTGGCTCACAAAGGGCAGTGTTGCATTGGTGAATTGGTCATTTACACCACACAGATATCGGAGATGGCAGTGTGTCTGGTTCTCAGCATCTTGTGGTGATGCCTTGTGCTCAGCTCGCATTAGAGGACTGCAAATGTGATATAATAACTGATTGTCTGTCAGAAAGGGAACTCTCACATTAACGTCATCTTCTTGGCATTCGTTTCTTGTTTTAACTCGGACCCTAATGCACATAACACGGCTCAGGAGCCACTTTGGCACTGTGTAGCTCTCTGGTCATCATTCTGAGCTCATCTCATAATCCTTTAATAATCGATGAGTAAGAGTTTCTCAGATGTGAGAAACAGGAGTGAATCATATCTTCTGATTGTTAACTGGTGCTGCTCTGTCTTCTCCCAGGAGGACTACGACCGCCTGAGGCCGTTGTCCTACCCGATGACCGATGTCTTCCTCATCTGCTTCTCTGTGGTCAACCCCGCCAGCTTCCAGAATGTGCGTGAAGAATGGGTGCCCGAGTTGCAGGAGTACGCTCCCAGTGTCCCTTACTTGCTCATCGGCACGCAGGTTGGTTCTGGAAACCCGTAACAGACGCTTCCCATTCTCAGCTGCTTTGCGCATATGTGGTGGATGTACCTGCATTTGTCATTTCTGACACGCTGGAATGAAATGAGGTTACCAGAGAAGAATACACTGTTGAGCTCATACCTGATGTTTTCAGATAGAGATGAAAAGGAATGAAAAATAAACTCAGTTACTTAGACATATTGAACAAACTTTAATCATTTTCATCCAGTATCAGTCTGATCCTGACTCAGAAAGCTAGACCAAGTACAACAGTGACAACGTGGAAGTCCACTTTATATACATACATGGAGGTGGTGCAACTACACTTTCCTTCACAGCTTTGTTATAGTTTTTTGCTTTATTGGTGACAGTGGTGTCGCTGCCGGTTTCTCGCTCTCATTCTTATTAAGCTTGGCGGAAGACTTATTTTACTGCTCTTATGGTAACATTATGTGCTGTCAACGGCCTGATTAACATTATTTCACTTCACTTGTATCCTGTCAGTTCCACTCTACCCACAATGTATGTGTGAGTGTGTTTGTTTGTTTGTGTGTGTGAGAAGATGCACATACAATCAGGGAAAGGGGCATAAGATCAGTGAAAAAAATGCCTGTCGTCATTAATTCACTAATAAATATTATTTAAATTAAAAATTTACTTATTATAAGTAAATTTATATTCCTGGATGTATTTATTTTTTTTTGGTTTTGTTTTTATAAGGTTATGTGAGCAAGTGTAAGTCAAGTCTAATGTTATCTTACATAAAGGAATGATTCTCAGTCGCTAACATAAGGATGATTAGCACAAGCGAGATTACATAATTTTAGCGTTAGCACAAATGCCAATAGCAAGTGCTGCTGTACATTAACAAACATGCTGGTTACTCTAACATGAATATATATAATATGGAATATAAAAACAGTAAAAAAAAAAAAAACCAAACACACAACAAAAAATGAAAAAACTGGGACACAGTTTTGTAAATTTTACCAGAAAGCTTTGTTAGCATGCTAGTTGCATCCTTGCAGTTAGCTACAGTGACAAAGCAATCTCTCCATTCCTCCGTCTGTAGCTGTCAAGTAATCCTCCCGCTGTGCTTCTGTCTCATAATCCGCCTCCTTTGTCTGTGTTTACATTCACACACTGAGCTGCTGTACTTCACATAACCCTCGTGTCTCTTTTCTAAAAGCATCTGATTGACATCTCTGCTGTTGTAATAAGAGCTCAGCTGAGGAGCTGACGTATGAGAAATAAAGGAAAATTTCACATTCAGAAGACAGCAGAACTTTGCTGTGGTATTAAAAGTTGAAGCCATTATTTTATTAACAGCTAGATTTTCATAAAATAAATCAGCACCTAGCATAATCCATCTATCCATTCTGCTCCGCTAAGCTATTTTGTTTTTCACACCAAACACCATAATATCAAACCTATTTCTTTATAAATGACTATAAACAAAATATTGTATTAGATTACACATAAAAAAGACAAATGATGATAACTGATCAACTGGGAAAACATGAAGCACCTTCATCCATGTTAAATGTGATCTTTAATTGCAGCCCTAATATTACTTAGGCAAGGTATCTTTGAGAACGGTGGGAACATGACAAAACATCGCAGCTGCCCATTAAAGAGGACTAAGACACAACTAAGAGTAGGCGCATATCTAAAAGTACAGGTGCTGAAATAGACAGTAGGTGGTAGCATGGAGGAATTAGATATTAGCTGTCTGGCTAATACTGTAGTACTCCACAGCTGACTCTAGATTTATTTGTGTTTCTCTGATTCATGCAGTTATTTAGTTATATGGGGGATAAAAAAGTGGTGTAACCTACCATTTACCAAGAAAGTTGAAAAGTGATAAAGAACAATGTATTTTCTTTTTCTTACACTGTTTTCTTCAACTTAGAAATTAGCCTATTTCAGTATAAACACCATCCAGACTTTGTTTTTTCTGCTTTGCACTGGTGTTGTGATTACATCATGAGTCATGCAGTGTATTAGTTTGGTGATTAACTCATGAAATATATTATCAATGCATAAGGTTGATGTAAAATGTATGTATTAACCCTCTAATTTGCTTACCATCGTGTCATATGTCAATTAACTGTATCCTTCACTCTGATTGGTAGTCGCTTCAATCGTTTACTTCAAAGTTGAGAGAAGTTTAACTTGGGAACCGTGCTTTTTGCAGTGTATTACAAGTTGGAAGTAATGAAGCTGGTAAAGTTGTTGACTGAAACATTAAAGCTTTGGTCTGTAAAACCAAAACACCGAGCTGAAAGATGCTAAAGTGATCAGTAATGCTGAGGGCAGATGTAGATCCGAGTCTGGAAGAGACCATTTTCAAATTCCACAATTATGTTTTTCAGCCACTGTCACTATAAAAGTACTAATTAGTGCAGCTTTAAGCCCAGCCACTCATGTAGTCGGGGAGCTGTGAAGATGAGCCAAAGAACAGAAGAAATTATTTATTAAATAACAGCAAAAATATGGAACGGCCAGTACAAACCTGACCAACGATCTCAGGCTGATTTGTCACATATCGCTTTAGGCGTTTTATGTCCCCGTGTTAAATGTGAGGTTTAAATCTGTTAAAGAAGCAATTAACAGTTTACTGATTCTTATGACACAACATTAATCCAGAGCATTAGCTTATTTCTTAAACCTTAAAAGTCACGGCCAATATCGCGCTTGCTTAAAACTGAGGGCAGTTGATGTTTACTGCGCTGTTATCAGTTCCTGCTATAACTCACTCGCCGCTCCACTGGCTGGATGCTGATATGTGCATGCTGCCGCAAATCTCCCCAATCAAGAAATGGGTTAATGAAGGCCACTTCCTGTTAGCTTTAGCAGTTGGATTCGTTGATTGTAACAGGTTATTACTGAGATATGGACGGGCTGTAGGTGGAGAGCGTTCCAGTGAATAAAAGCAGAGTGAAGAAACTTGTGGTTGTCTGTGAAATTGCTTTGCACAAGAGCAGGAAGTGTGGGCCAACATGGCTGTGTTACAAAATGAGAGCTCGCGCTGTCAGTTACAGCTCATTCCTATGTATAGATGCAATGATGAAATCCCTCTGTGTTACGCAAATATGAGCTATTAATAAAATCTATATCATAACAGCAATACTAATGTTGACTCAGCTAAAAGAAGCGTATCTTTTTCAGATTGATCTCCGTGATGACCCCAAAACCATTGCCAAACTAAATGACATGAAGGAGAAGCCCATTGCCACCGAGCAAGGACAGAAACTGGCAAAGGAGGTTTGTATGCCGAACTAAAGGGAAGCTTCTATTTTCACTTTCGCTGTTGCAGAATTGAGCTGCCCAGTCCAGTTAGATTCCTGTGTGTTGATTTGACCTAGGAATGTCTCTTTAGAAATTCTTGGAATCAAGACCTTTGCACATTCTTTGAGTTACAATGAATCCGGGAATACATTCCGAACCAACACAGATGTCCAGCAGAGTTCGAGACTCTGCACCATAGATACCAAAGGCGATCTGTGATTAATCACTCCTGTCAGAGCATGAATAAGGCTCAGTCTTTCAAAACATTACTGCCTAGATTCATTTTAAAGTCTATAGTCGTGCCGTTTTGGCAATGTAAGATTTCAATGCGATTCTCATCTCATGGAGTCATGAAGTTTTCTGAGGCCTCAAGGAAACTTGGAAGAACATGTCGGGTCAAATTAGACCCCTTTTCCTCAAAGTGAGCAGCATTTTACCTTGGGTATTGTTTCCTATAGTTGCTGTTGTAGGTAACCCATCTTCCATAATCCAACTCAAGATTAGAATTTTTTTTTTTTTTAAAGGGTAAATTTCAAATATTTTTAAGAAATAGTTTATCCAGTCATGTGAAAAATAACTATTTCCCATATTTGAAGAAGCAAAAGTGATTCTAATTGAAAAAGTACATAGTAAAAATACATCCTAGTCCAACAATTGATGCAAAACACTTTGAGGGAGTGATAGATTGCAGCTTTTCCTGTATAAATAAAGGTCTATTGCTTGCTTTGCTGTTTGGGATCCCATCATGCCAACATCTAAAGAACATTTTGAGGCCTTCAGAAGCAAAGTCTGTAAGTCTGGTAAATTATTTAAAGGAGCTCCAAACAGTTCAGAAAGAAAAGAAGGAAAAAAATCATCCCATTGTAAGGAAAAGTAGTGTGGATTTCATGACTGGCTGCCCTGTTACATTCAAGTCAGTAACAGATATTTTGATATAAAAACCAGTCTGATGATCTAAAAATTCCATCAGAAGATATAAAGGGAACTCTTGCAGCTCCTTTGTTAACACGTCATGTGCCTTCACAGTTCTACACTGCAGACAGATTTCACCTGGGAGCAGTGCCACTAATGGTATTTGCTGTTCAAAAAGAGCTTTAAAGCAAAGCTACCGTTGGCCGTTGCAGAGTTCAGGCCTTCTAAAATAACCGTGCTCTGGACGGTCAGATCAAAGATAAATTTGTTTGGCCACAGTAAAAACAGGCATTTTTGGTGAAGATCAAAGTCAACATTTTAGAAGAAAAGCTGAAAAATCATGATAGTGAAAATGTTTGAGGTTACTGTGATTCCTTTGGACAGTACAAAGGAGTGACTCGACAAAAGAAATAAAAGTGTTTACAAATCTTTAACTTGGATCTCCAATGAATGCTAACCTCTAAAAAGCTCGTTAGTTAGGCGCTAAAGAGCTGTTTTTGGTCTAGCCGTTTTGCAAAGCAATTTTTTACACAAATCAGGTGTTTGAAGGGCCTTTTTTCATATTGGACATGAAATAATAAATGTTTCTGGCTTTAAAGGGCTAACTTATTTATTCAGTTATGTGAACATTCATCGGGCTGTTTTCTATACTTGAGCGGCCTCCATAAACATTCCTGTACTGGCCTTGCTCACTTGCCATTAGCTTCTAAAGTTACCCACTAATATCAACCATAGCCAAAGCAAATAATATATGATTACACTGCTAGCCTGATACAATTATAGCATTCAGTGTTTCTAGCTAGCAGAGCTGCTGCTGAGCCTCTTCCACTCTTATTACATTTCCTTTTTAATGGATGGGTGTCGTAGCATTGTGGCAGAGGTGATCCAAAAACCCAGACTGGTAAACAGATACTCTTAGACACTTTTATAGCTCTAAAGAAAATATAAATCTTTAAAAAAATGGTGAAAACTGTGCTTCTCTGTTTTCCAGTTACATCCATCTTACAGTTCATACTTTAGGACTGCTTAATATCCAAAGGTACAAAGGTGGCACTTGCATATAAACCATAGAAAAAAGCTGTTAAATAACAAACATGTCAACTTTACCAAGAAGCACGAGAGAAAATGGAGATAAGTTATATGCTACATAGATGTATTTGAGATCAGGAATTTAATTTTCTTCTGATCTTTAAGCCAATCACTTGCCAGATATCTCTATGTCAATGACCGGACCTCCATTTTTTTTCTTGGATGAAGCCCATAAGGGTGAAAAGTTGGCATGTTCGTTGACACTGGCAGACTAAATTGGTAAAGTTCAGATTCATCAACTTTTTCCTGATGTTTTGTGCAAGTGACGTCTTTGTGCCTTTGGGTATTTAACTCTTTGATAGTGCTACAGTTTGGCATATCTACCAATCTACAAGAAAGTGAACATTTTCCAAACTATTTTAATGTCAGTGCCGTTTGAACGTTGCGTTGCTGTGACTGACGATCCCTCTGTTCTCTTTAGATTGGTGCATGTTGCTATGTGGAATGTTCAGCATTGACCCAGAAGGGCCTGAAGACGGTGTTTGACGAGGCCATCATCGCCATCCTGACCCCCAAGAGAAAGAAGGGGTCTCTGAAAAGGAGACTGGGGCCTCGCTGCATTAACTGCTGTCTGATTACGTGATTACATATACTCAGAGATCATTCAGCAATCAACCACAAACCAAACCTGAACTGAGAACAAAAGACTGGCAGAAAAATGCACAGACAGCAGCTGAGACAAAAGAGAGGACTGAAAGGACAAAACGAGAGCCACTTTGGAGCTCTTTGATGGCCATAACTCTTTCTTGCTGTCCAGCACTGGGGTTAGGGTTGCAGTTTACTACCAAAGGAGCACAAAGCCCAAGTCAGTCTCTTCTTTTAAAAGACTTTTGCCTCAGAAGTACATTCTTTTATAACCATTTTTAATCATTTTTCTGTATAGTGTTGTTGTATGCTGTCATGTATGGACAAAAAAACAAAAACAAAAAAACAAAACACAAAATGACATTGAATGACTAATGCTACATTTTAAAGAGCTCATGTCATTTCTGTTTATGGGAGGTAGATTATTGATTAGTATATTTCTAAATACAAGATCAGATGTGCAAGAGAAAAGACCAGAAATGAGCTATTGAAAGAGAGGCTGGCTTTAGTGACACTGTGACGGTGTCCAGGATACTTTTCTGGACATAAGGGCCCAGTTCTTTTTGTTTAAAACTTCTTCCAAAAAGATCTTTGGCCCCAAAAAAAAGTCTGTCTCCAATTATTTGTCGTTTGAGAACCTGCTAATGAAAAACCACACAAGATTGTGTTGGGACAAACGCAGTTCGGATGTCAGATTTTGGATCTAGGACTGAGTGATCTTAAAGTTTGAAAGTCTTGTTTTTTGCCTTATGGAAAATGGGAAAAAATGTTCTATAGCGTGGCATGCCAAAACATTCGGAAAGTTAAGTTGGGAGTCTGATGTCTTAATCAGAGACTGAGGTTTATTATTCATTTTTGAAATCTATATAATCCAGAGTTTATGAAAAGTCAATCTGTGCAAATAACACTTTATGAGCTTATAAATGTATTTCCTTTATTTTCTGTTATTCTGCAATAATTCTTTAATTGACATTTAAGGAAGTTCTACAAAGAGAAAAGGAGACGAGGGATCTCATTTCAGAAATGAAACTCTGATTCATATCAACGTCCAAAGACTCCAATGCACACGCTTTTATCGAAGTCCGATAGCTGAGATGACCCAATGCTGTACATCTATTGCACAACATGAAGCACAGATGGTGACACTTTGTTTCCTAGCAAAGCCAAGCACATTTCTCTGCTTTCAGAAACTGACCCCATCCCAGAATAGACCGACTGAACCACAGAAGATGCACATTGCTCTATCGGGCACAAGTATGAGCGTAGCACACCATCTTCAGAGTTTATCAAGTCGACAAAAAGTGGTTGGGATGTTTCCTTGAACGTCCCGAATTTCAATTCTTTAGGAAGTGCACAACTGATCCAAACTTCTGAAGTGGTATGAAGGGTTGAAGAACTAGCTGCAACAGCTGTTAGTTAGTAAGCTGTTGCTAATCCTACTTATAAGTTTGGTCGTTACATTTTGGAGATGTGTTCATTACTACATCAAGTTGCACCACAAAAAGTAGTTGCATACAAGGACATTTGTTGTCACTAAATATTTCCACCTAATGGCCTAGTAGCTGCAAAATAATGTAAGATATGTCAGCTAGCTGAAAAGGCTAATGTTAGCTTCATAGCTGACATATTTGACCATATTTCAAAATAATGTTTATTAAGCTATTTATAAGATGAGGAAAATTATCTCTTACACTTTCAAATAATTTCCAAGTTACAAAATGTTATGCCAATAGCATTAAATGTCAAACATATTGTAAATTAGATCAGCATAATCACCGATTGGTGCTTGTTTTAATGTAGCAACTACTTAGCCTTCTGAAACTGTTGTTTTGGGCATTTTTGATAAAGTTATGTGATATTCTTCAGATCGTATCACAACCATTTCAACCCAAATGACTAAAGCCTTTTCAAGCTTAGATGATTTTTTTTTTTAATGTTAAATGGTGCAACTTAGTTCGGCAAATCACCAGTTTGAAACTAGCCATTAGCGACTTAGCTAGATATATGAATAGTTGGAACAACCCATGTGCAGGAGACAAAAAGTCTTTCAAAAAGTCTGAATCAAAAAAATAGTGTTTTAGGCAATAAGGTCCTGAAATGAAAGCCAGAAGAGATTTAAGGAATTTTTGACCAGCACCCATGGACTATCCCTGTCATTTAAGCGATCTCGTAAAGAATCTGTCACCTGTGAATTGCATTACAATTTAAATAGAATTGGAGATAATAATTAAACTTTAGGATCTAGAGCAATTACTCCACCCATTCCCCTCCACAAAACAAAGTGTATGCAACAAAGGTCTCCAGCCAATATGTTTATAGGTATGTAACAACTGGAGGTCGGGACTGAACTTTTCTTGCAAGACAGACATAAAAATGCCAGTGCTTCTTGTTTTTATGCATTTGTTATTAGCTTTTTAAAATCTTTAAAAAGAAAAAAAAAAGATTTTAATCAAAGGTGCCAACTTGCTGTTAACTTTCTGTTCAGAGTCAGATACAATGTTTGATTAAAGCTTTAATGTAAAAGGTGCTCCTCCTCTCTGTCCCAGCCTGCGTTGTTGTAACTGTCTTTTTGAGCAGCAGACGACTGCAGGGTGAACAAGCCTTCTATCTACTGGACAGTTTTGCTTGCTTATGTTGTGTGAAGGTCCACCCTCAGGATCCAGGACCTATAAGTGCCACAGCCACCGATGCATTCTCCCGTTGATGCTTCTTTCTTCTCAATAAATGTGTTTACTGTCTTAAAAAGTCAGCTTGGGGATTTAACTTGGAGTGGGCCAGATGTGATGTGGGATGCATTTGTGGAATAAACCTTTGCTATGCTTATGTTCATAACAGGTTAGATAAGAAGGTCAGGAGAAATAGATATTAAAAAACACACACAGCATTAATGCATTAAAGATTTACAGTGCTGTGAAAACGTATTTGCCCACTTCCTGATTTCTTATTTTTGCATAACTGTCACACTGTCACACATATGAGATCATCAAACAGACTTTAATATTAGAGAAAGGTAACCTGAGTACAAGTTTTACTCTTGTTAAAGTTTTAACTCTTGTTAAATCAGGAGTTATCTCCGATTGATCACATATTTTGTTTGGAAAGTTTAGTCCAGTTTCTCTTAATTAAATTATGTTTTTAAAACTGCAATTGGTATTTATGCTCTTTATATTATATTCAAATAAGTTTGCTGATCTGAAACGTGAAAGCGTGACAAATACACAAAAAAGTTTGCATCTTTTATTTTGAAACTTAAAAAAGGAAATTAATCTGTTTATGTTTAAATCTATTTTTGAGATTATAAGATGAATTGATTTATCTCTTGGGCAGGAGCGCCACTCACTGGGTGCAGTCTATATGTTCCTCTCTGTGGAACAATTAACTTCACTTTACATACACAGTTTAAAATTTTACTCTGTTTATTTGGTGTGGAAATTTACAGTATCACTGGATGTATCAGTATATGACAGTACCTCATAGTGGAACATATTTAACTCATAAACATTTATGATGCTGCTAAAAAATCAGTGTTCAATAATTTATTCATGCAAACTTCAAACAACACATTTCCATTCATTTTTGTACGAGTTCCTTCACTGTGATATAAACTATTTTATATTGAAAAAACAAAGTTCAGGCACATATGGCTGAAATTTTTTTTTAACACTCTGAAATCGAACATAGCACTTTTTTACAGTCTAAGTTATTTGCATGTCTCTCATTATTGTGCACGTATGGCTAAAATTTGACGGTACACATTAATGCAGTTTAAAATTTCCAAAGCATGATTTCAACTGAAGAAATTATTTTTTTACAAAACTGTTAAGTAAAACTGTGTAGATCTCCATATTATAGCTCTGAAGGGGATAAATCACCTTTTATGTGACCCGTAATATCGAGGAGCATTTCATCTCAGAAGTTAAGACTCTTTATTAATGCTTGGTATCACTTTCATGCATGTTGACCAAAAAGCCACAGGGTTTCCTTTACTGGCAGAATTACAGCATCCTTGTACACTGCAAAGATGAGTTCATTTAATAATATATATAAAAAAGTATTGTTAGATTTAAACAGGGGACAGTTATATTACTTTGAGTGTGCAGTACTTAAATAAGCAAAGTAATATTATAATATTATACTCTATCAACATAACAAGAGCTCTTTAATTTTAGTTTAAAGTAACTTTATGCTAGTGTATTTTAGAAAATGTTACAATAAATGAACTACAAAGATCACATGTTGAAAGTCCTACTTTATTTTTTAAAAAGCAAATATAACTGTACAAAATATTTTCTTTGCTTTTCTGTAAACACATAGAGATTTCGTTTTTGTCAAATCCTTGTATACCACACATTTACAGGAGCACTGATTCCATTAAAAACTGAACTTTAGCACTGTTAGCTAAACATTTACATTGTAGTTTGCCACAAAAACACTGTAAACCTGAAACAATTATCACCACAGTACTTCATGAGGAATTGAAGTCAAATGAGTCTTAATGTTCGCCACTGTAAAGGTACTCCAAACCTGTTAAAAAATCAGGTATGTGTTATTCAATGAAACTGGAGAGCGCTGTTGCCCCACAGTAAGAAGGTCCAGATTTCAATTCCACCATCAACCCGGTTCTTTCTGTGTGGACTTTGCATGTTCTCCCTGTGTTTGAGTGGGTTCTCTCCAGGAAACTCTAAATTCTCCATAAGTGTGAATGTATGGGCCCCCCGAGGAGAATAGATGGATGTTGTCATTTATTGCGTAACATCTTCAAATTCATGAAGCACTGCTGACCAGCTCCAGCACCTCTGCAAACAGAGTTGACAGAACAGGTAGGAAAATGGATGGGACATATAATGCGGTGATGTTGAATGTTTAAAATTTTATTTTGTAGTTTACATGAAGAATTTTATTCACTTACAAAATGTAAAATATAAGATGTGGATGTCTAAACCTAGTTCTCGTAGTTAAAATCTGATACTAAGGTCAATTATAGTTTTTTTGTTGGGTTTTTTTTTAGCTTTTTTAAAGATCTCACAAACAGACAGAGGATTGTCATGTGGAGCTAAAAAAAAGCCTTATAAAAGGCTCTAATGCTAATAATGCATGCATTGTTAAAGTGAAGCACGTCTGCTCACATCCCATATGAGTGATTCACATAAACTGGAAACAGGCATGTTTGTTTTTCTAACATCCTGTGATAAAAAACAAAACCTCATCTCCTCCTGCTCTAATTTCCTATGACCATATATGGAAATATCATCTCTTGTTTGTGTATTTTCTGTGTATCTGAGTAGTTTGACACATCTACTGGAGTCACCAATTCCAAGACATATTTGATATATTAAGGAGAACAAATCATCCTTCAAATTAAAAAAAAAGATTTCATTTGCTTCAGCACACATGGACACATTTATACAACTAGAAGCCTAGAAAACACAACCCGGTGTGTGGATACTGTTAGAGTCCTGGGGTAAAGCTACATTCAGGGAAATGTTGCATCTATTAATGTGAAAGCGGTATGTGTTTTTTCTCCTCCTTCAGAAGCAAGACTTGGGTATGATTTTGGTCTCTAACAAATAGATCTCCTCACCTGCTGGTGTTGACATGTGCTAGTCACAGACTTCTAACTTTTGATCGTGCGTCGTCTGCACCATTAGTGCTGACTGTCACGATGCAGAAAGTCAGCTTATTCTCATTGTCATGTAGAGAGGAAAAACTGATAAAACACCGAATTCTGATTAGAACTTTCAAATGCAGATACACAGCACATTATGTGTGTAGCAGGACTCTTTGGGAGCCTGGAGTTTCCCCAGCTCCAGTCTGCTGCCATGCACCTTCCTCCACCGTCTTCCCTCTGGCCCTCAGCACTAACAGACACAATGCTACTCTGACTGGTGAGGTCCCTTTCCAGCCACAGAGCTCAGAGCTTCATTATTCCCCTGCATGGTTGAGTTGCCCTTTCTCAACAATTACATATTCACTCTTCCTTTACCACCTTCCTCACCCCATATGTGCCATTTCTACAAGCATGAAATGTACCTAATCTGTATTCAATTATTGTTTGAGGTCCACTTTAAAGAGATAAACAACACAGTAAAAGGCTTCATGGCAAAAGACTTCCTCTATTTTCTTCATGTCTCATTATCCAGGAAAAAAGGGCTTTGGTTTGGTGAAGTGCTGTGTGAAACGAATAAAACATAATTAAAAGAGTTTAATAATGAATTGTCACAACACGTAGAACCTATTAATCTAGTCTTTATTGTAATTTTGCTGTAATTAAACTGACATTACTGTTTGATATGAAATGCTGCAGCAAAGCACTGAAAACTGGTGTGAGACCTACATAAAATGATACCCGATCAGCAAATTGCACTATAAAAGTCTGAAAAGTACATTACATATATAATCAGCACATCTGGGGAAAAGGGACTGTTTTGTTTCTATCCTGCTGCCACAAGATGGCAACCCTGCCTTTGTCACCGCATGACTAATACCCGAGCACTGGATATAAAGAACCATGCAACGCTTTCAGGACAGAGCTGAATTTGAATTTCTTCGCTGAGCTTGTTTAATTATGATTACATGCATTATTTATTTTCTAAAACTCCTGAACTTTGATCAATAAAATGTGTTACAGTTACATTAACAAAACACTGCATTCTGTGTATCTCTCTGAACAGACAATGAGATGACAAAGTGACATCTGACATGGTTAAATAAACTGATGCTTACTGTATCAGTTTCACTGGTCCAAACAATAGATTCACCCAACTCTAGTCAAACATGCAGTAACTTTGCTGGGGGCCGATCATTTCTTTTGACATTTTAATCAAGCCCCACTTCACGAAATGTGATCTGCGGACATCACAAAATCACCCTTAACTGCTTCCCTTAATCACTGTACAAAGAAACAGAACATGAGTCCTCAAACACCAAACCTCTACTTGGTATCACCTCTGATCTATATCCAAATCTATTCCTGTACTCAGTGACTGCCCAGCCTCGAATATTAGCTGTCAGCGGTTATGGCTTAGTAGCTTACTGCAATAAATTAAAGTTTATTATGGCATTTAACTATATTCTCTCAGTGAGTACTTCATCGCTTTTAATTTCATGAATAAACATCACCCCCTGCTTTTTCAGCTACTCATAAATAGTCAGTTCTAATATGTTAGGTCTGAGCTCGCATGGACCTGTAATACACTACTATCACACCTTTCTTCTTCATAAGAAGCTGACTCACCGTAGTTAGTTATTATCATATCCTTTCTGTGTGGCTTGTTTGCTGCAGCAGCGACCTGTTAGGGAAGGTCCATGTCGACTAAAACAGTGTGAATCAGTCCTGGCTGAAGAATCAGTGCTAATGCAATTCTCTTTCATTTCCTTTCATAAGCGCAAATTGGATCAGTATCTCGGAGATGTAAAAGCTAATGTGCTCAGACGGCTCGTGATTTCCGTGAACTCACAACCCTCGGCTCCAGCGAACTACTACATTACTCACACAACTTCCACTTCCCCTTACGGCTTGTGTCATGC